AAGGTGAATACCTTGTTTGCTCCTACACATTTTGAAAAGAGAACTTTCACGTGCTTTGTGTCCTTTAATCCACAGAATAGAAGAGCTTAGAGAGTAAAACTCTTGTCATTTTGGCAGTCTAGAAACACCCTCAGTCTCAGCATAACCAGGAATCCCTCAACGAAAGAGATTTTTATCTGAATCTCCAGATTTAGGTTTTTATGAAAAGCATATCCTTCAGTTGGAGTATTTAGATGAATGTAGTTATGTTTCACCTTCTTAAACTAATTTTATTCTATATTTAATATATTGATAGCTTAGGTGTCAAACCATTTGTACATAGTAAAGGCAAAATGCAATTAGTGAAGTAGGAAAAGTGGGGTGGGAGCATAAAGCTACTGGTGGCCTGGGGGAAAAAAAAAAAAAAAAAAGTCTTGGCCCGTATTTTAGAAGTCACAATGTTTTATTCATACATCTTGTTTTATATTGGGGAGGGGATAGCTAGAATGTGTTATGAAATTTTTGGAAACCTTTCCTAGCGTTAGTCAGGGGGTTGGCCTTGCAGTGCTGTCACGGTCAGCTCCCTGGAATTCACTTGTTTGTAGAGTATATATTTTGATTGTCGGTAAAGATGACGACTTTGTATTTTTTCTGCACTTAATTTGTGTAATTAATCCACACAACAGAGTTTTCTATAACGTGGTGAAGTCGACAAAGGACGCAATTTCTCCTACCTGTTAATCTGTGCTTGCAATATTTTAGTAATTTTATTTAAGCCATCAATAGGAGGCAGCAGAAAGCTGCAAATTTCGATTTTTTCTTTTTTTTTTTTTTTTTGCTCATTACATTTGTAGTGGGAGTGTTCATCAGTTTTCTTTACAGAAAGCTTGTAGAATTTTCTGTTTGCTGCATATATCTATTTAAAAAAGTGCAGTCATTTTTTTAAGCTTTTGTGAAAGCAGTTATTGCTTACAAGTTGCACGAGATGGTTTTCTAGTGTGTCTCCACGACTTAGCAAATTGTTCTTTTCAGGGTTAGTGGTTCAGTTGGAAAACTCTTGAAAAACGAGTTTTAAGCACTTCACCAAGCACAGCAAACACGGTATAAAACTTTGCTCTTTGAAAATGGATTAAATGTAACAATATCGAAATTTTTTTTTTTAATTTTCTTCTAAGAGATACCTCACTTAAAGGAAAGCACAGCTGTACTGTATTTAAACTAATTCTAGGAAATAATAAAAAACAAGTTGGTCTGAAATATTTTTGTTGCCCTCGACGTTGCTTTCTGTGACAGACAAAACGTTTGGGGTTGTTTTTTTTTTTGTGTGTGTGTGTGTGTTTTCATCCTCGCTCTCCAAAGTATTTATTGCTGTTGACATGCCAGTAGAATTCTCTCAAATGACAGAAAGTAGCTGCAAAAACAACCGTGGGAGCTCGAGGCAACAGGTTGAATGACCGTCCTGGAACCGCAGGGAAAAACGATCCGTGAATTCCACCGTTTTTAATCCTTTGCCAATGATGTACAGTCTGCCTGTCAGCGTCGCTGTGGTTGCATTTACATGACACACAGAAACTGTCCTCTACCTCACGTGAGAATTTAACAAGAGATTTTATATGGTTTGAGTAAACGAGATGCATCTATCCTGGTCACTTAGTTTACAAAATTTTGAATTCTATTTATTGAAACATGACATAACTGTGCTCTTAGCTTATACCTCAATTGTATTTTGTGCTGTTATCCATTTCCATGCCTTGTAAATACCTGTATAGATCGTGGATTCGAAAGCAAATAAAGAACTGTAATGTCAGAACGCTTTGTCTCTGTCGTTATTTTTTGACTCCTAAACTTGACTCTTTGAAGGTGTTTGACACGAGGGCAGAGCCTTCCTTGCTCTGACTGCAGCAAATTAAAACCTGGTTACACTGAAATTTGTTAGCAGGACTTCCATGGCCTGCAGCAGGTCCCTGGTTCCCTGGAGGGTATTTTTAGCAAAATCTACAAGATCAAAGCTCTCCCTCCCCATGGCTCCACTTCCTAAAGCTCCTATGACTCTGTCCAGGCACTGACACTTAAGATTTCTGTGGGGAAATACATCCTAGAGTGACTCTCAGGAGTTCTTAGGTTTTGTAAACCACGTGATTGTGTTCCTTAACAGAAGTTTTGTGTGCTATCAGGGAGCTTAAATAGCAGAAAAATCAGAATAGGAGAGGGAAGGAGCAGTTGAGATGACGAGGGAGCTGTATATGAATGAGTCTTCCATTTACCTTGAGCTTCCACCACTTATAACAATAAACTGTATTCTGTTGCTCACTCAAAAATGCCCTGTATTGTAGTAAAAGAAAACTTCTTGGCACAAGTGATATTTTGGAGGTTTTCTGGGTGATTTTATTCATCCTGAGAGTTTTGCCTCTGGGCAGATAAGAAAGCACATTCATATACACACACTTTGGTATTTTTTCCTCTCCTGAAACCAGTGCAAAAATTGCTTTGTCCTTGTTTTAAGGAACTGTTTTTGCACATAGGAAATCCTGATGATGGTTCAGGTTATTGCAAACCCTTCATGCTTCCATGTGTTTTACAACTGAGGAGAGAAAGAGGTGGTATGAGCCAGGATACAGATTAAATTGATATTTTGATGAGCTCAGCCTTCAGTATAGCAGAAAATGAAAAACAAGCTGTACCACTTAAACCTGGTTTTTTTTTTTTTTTCTGCATCCCATCTTGCATTTTCAAACTGCTGTGTGTCTAAACGGGGAGAAGCTGCAGGGCTGAAGATGGAAAGAAAAAGTTCAAGGTGAGTCATCTGGATGAGAAAAGAGCCATGGGGTGTTGATAGCTTGGCTATGACTAATTGCAACTCCTGCCTTTTGTCACAGAGAACAATGAGGATCAAACAGCAACTGAGTGAGTGAAGGGAGAAAAGATTGATTTTTGAGGAGTTCACGCTGTTGCTGAAATAAATGCGCGTGCAGCAGCGGCTTTTGAAAGAGTAACTTTTCAAACTGTGGCCCGAAGTGATTCAGTTTATTTGGCATATTGCTGGGAAGCCTTTTCTTATTCTGTTGATCTTGTAAATCATTGTTCACTTGTCTCATTGTAAGTTATATTCACTTAACTACTGATGGGGTGATTTATAAGACAGATAAAATTCTGTCTCTATCGACATTAGCAAAATAATTCACACTGTGCCCTGTGGGCTCCAGCTCCACTACTGTTGATTAGCGTTAGTTAGCAAAGTGTAAAATTAACTCCTTGCCTGTTTAGCTGCTGCAGAGTCCCTGATAAATACATTTGTGAGGGAAAACGTGGAGTTCAAAAAGTTTTTGTGGTTAAGGAAGCCGTGACTGTAGGAGACTGAATTAAAGAAGGACGTGTTTGCAACCTGCAAATTAATACCTTGCAGCATGTCAAAAATACTTTTATTGTGCATTGGGATGCACCTGCACTATCAATGTGTAAAAAGCTTCTCACCCCAGCCTTGGGATGACATTTGTAATCTCATCTCCTTCCAAATTCAGTGATCCCTCCAAAGCAAATGTGCAGTCCAAGTGCAACAACACCGGTTTCACTACAGAGAAGGCAAGTTAATCTCCTGAATAACGGATAAGCAGGGATATTGTTTGGGGAAAGACTAAATCCATCTAGAATTGAACCCTAGGCAACATAAAAGTGGTGGCTGGATGTAAGAACAGCATGCTCCACCTGCAGTGGGTGCAGTGGAAGAATAAGTTACGTAGGCAGATGGAATAGCATCAGGAAAGTCAATTTTTCACACAAATACCCTAAACCAGGTATCACAAAAAAACAAGGATTAACCAACAATATAAACCAAATGTGAAAACAACTATTAAATTTGTATTTGTTGTAAAAATTTCGCTTTAAAGATAATTTCCAGCTATTTTTGTAGTAACTCCAGTGCTCAGATGAAGCTTTGTGACAAAACTGTGCCCTCGATGTCCTTGAATCTTGGATCTAAGGAACAGGTGACAGATGAAGCTTAGGATGCTCTAGTTCATGTTTTTCACTTCATTTGCTAAAAAAAATGGGAGAAAAAATACCTTTGGATGAAAGAAGATGAAGAGCGGGATATATACCTCATTCCCGACACCTTAATCTCAGAGTGGAGCTTCCAGTATTTCTCACCAACAGCTCTGGGAGCGAATCAAATCCATCGCAGCGTCATTTTCTTGCCTCTTTTCCCTCGCCGTGCACCACAGACAGCTCTCCACTAGTGGTCTCTCCAGGCACGCGGCATCTGCAGCGATCCAAACCTTCCCCTGGCAGACCCCGCAGCGCTGGAGGAGGATGCACAGCGAGGAGACGTCCTTAGGGGCTCGTTGGCACCCGATAACTCACTGGTGTGTTGTGAAAATACAAAGCAGCGTTAGGAAAATATCCTGCCTGCCTGTTTTGCCTGTGATGCAGAACGAGCTACAAAGTTTCCTTTTTTTTTTTTTTTTTTGTCATTTTGAAGTGGGCTGTTCCTGTTCTGTCAAAATACACTAAAATTCATGTAATAAGTTGACTCAGACTAAAAGTCTGAGTTAAAAGCTCCTCATTCTGTTTTGAGCATTCAAAAGGGGAAATAATATGCTGTTAAACACACATATTCAAGGCTGGGTGTTAATTAACACTTCTGAAAAGCCAGGCTCAGCAGAGAATGCAGTGATGGGTCTTTTACATTTTTACAATTACAGAAAACATCAGGAAAGACCGGAGAGTGATTTTGTCCCTTCACTGCAGCCTTTGGTGAGATGATAGTTCCACCTCTCCAGTAACTCTCTCCACCACGTTTCTTCCCTCATCATTCCTCGAGGAGGTACCAGTGTGACCATTTGTCTTCCCCTCGCAAACACTGCCTTAATTTTTCTCCCTCGATGCTGAATGTTGAACAGTCGGGCTGTTCGCATTTGAATAAACCCCTCTGGTTCGTTTCTCAAGCGCGGCTGGGTGTGATTGTGCATCTCCTCCTCCCCACACCCCCCTTCCCCCTCGGACGCTCGGGATGAACTGGCAGAAGTTGGGGCTCCCCGCTCGCTCCTCCCATGTGTTGTGGGGCTGGAGGCAGCTCTGACCCCTCCCAGGGAGGGAGCTGGGCAGAGGCAGCCGAGTCCTTTCAGCAGAGCCTGACCAGGGACCTCATCCTGCCCAACCCCATCCCTCCCGCTCCCACAGCAGCCGGGATCTCTCCGGGCGGCTTCGCTGACCCCCGCGGGCTCTGTCCTGTCCAGCTCGCCCCGCCAAGGGACAGAGATGGTGGCCACCTGCCTGCACCTGGCTGGATTTGTCTGCAGCTTCATAGGGTGGATCGGGGTGGTTGTGGCGACGGCCACCAACGACTGGGTGGTGACCTGCGGCTACACCATCACCACCTGCAGGAAGATGGACGAGCTGGGATCCAAGGGGCTGTGGGCAGACTGTGTCATGGCAACAGGTCTCTATCACTGCAAGCCCCTCGTGGACATCCTCATACTGCCAGGTACGTGTGTCCCGTCCTCCCCCTTCCCACCCGGAGTGAGGGGTGAAGCCTTGCCCGGAGAAGGGCAGGTCCTCCTGCCAGAGGAGTTGCTGGGGAAGCTCCTCCAGCTTCATCAGCACAGCAGATGGCCCATTAAATACCCTAAAGGATGTGAATGATAGCTCTTACCGGGATTCTGATTGTTTTACACCTGGTTTTAATCATACCCAGGTATTGCGTTATCCGTGGCTACTGAAATCCCGTTAATGTTTAATCACTGCTCTGAGTAAAAGCTCGCTGTTCCTCTCATATCTTGTCCCTACATTGCACTGCAAAACACACAGGGCACATAATAGAGTATTTCAAGAGGATGGTGAGCTATTACAAATGTTAAGGCTCGATTCCTTAAAGTGATTTGGAGCATAATGAATCTTTCAGCATCTATTATTAATGCTCCTATGGCTTTTAATCTTTCGAAAAAGTCATCATTAGTCTTGATGGTCTTGAGCTTCCCACAGGTTCTAAGGCAAGAAAGAACTTTTACACAGCAAACAGATGTAACTGTATTTAACTTGTCTCCATGGTTTTTAATGGTATAGCAATTTTCAACTAGTTTATTACAAAGCAAAAATTAAGCAAGGTGTTCAATTAGTATTAATGCACCTTTTGAGCTAATTAAAGCTGCCAAACTCTAGTGGGGTCTGGTCCCTGTAAGTTTAGTTTGTGATCTTGCCCGTTTCAATCACTGTTAACTCTGAAGTGCTTCGTTCTGCCGTGTTTTAGATTGCAATTCCTCTGCCGTGTCAGAGGTGCCTCTCCCAAAGCTTACAGAGTAGAAATTACTATTCCTTGTCTTTTTTTTTTTCATGTTTCTTGTTCTTGATTCATTTGTTTAAACTGATGTGAAAATTACTTTGCCAGAGGTAAAAGGGATTATTCCTGACTTTCTCTCTGTTACAGTTTGGTCTGTGTCACCCCCTGCTCAGCAATGTTGAGTCTCTCAGATTCACTCCTGTTCTCCCTTTCTCTGTGTGTGTGTATATTTTTATTTTAGAGGGTTTGCCTTCCTTGTTACTCCTGTTGTTAAATCTGATCCAGCAGAGAAGTCGGAGGAAGGGTTTGTCCCAAAGTAACACTGTTGAATGCAACTTAATAAATAGGTAAATGGATCTTGCAGCAGCAGAGGGCAAGGCTTCCCTCCAGCAGAAACAAATCACAAACCAAGGTGTTTCTGCTTGTAGCCTGTTTGATAGCCACAGCTTGCCATGAGAGGGAAATTTATCCTGGTGTGCCCAAGAGTCTTTCATGGTCTGAGTCAAGTCTTTAACATAAATTGTTTGTATTCTCGTTTAATTGGAATTGATTGCACAGCAACCACACTGGGCACTGCTCTCGCCTTTGTTTAGGGTCTTGTTTTATGTCCTGAATTCCTCAGGTAACTTCTTTTGTTAAGTTTCCTCTTGAAAAAAAAAGAAAACAAAAACAAAAAAAACCCAAACAAATATTCAATATATAGAGAGCCTGCACTTCCAGGAACAGTAAATCCTCATTCCTGGTGTCATAGCTGTGTGTCAGTGGGACAGGCTGGAGGCTCCAGTTTGCTGGTGTTGTTTGAGGCATCATGAAACCCTGTGGCTGTATCTGGCAGCTTTGTTTTGTTACTGAGAGGGTACAAGGAGCCAGCACACCCACTGAGACTGTCCCAGGAGCTCAGGGAGGTCACCAGAGACCGGGGCAAATCTGACACTGCTGCTTTTTCTTTTGCATGCAAGTGATGACCTGGTTTAATGTATTTATAAATACTTTTTATATAGTATATAAATTACATATAAAATACATAAAACGGATATATGCATTCTATGTATAAATATTTTTAAAATCATATGATACATAGACTCCCCCCCAAGAGTAGCAGAAATGCCACAGTCTTGCCCAGCACACCCACAAGCCCTGGTTCCCTGCTGTTTCTTGCTGCCCTGTGTGCAGGGACAGGCAGGAGAGGGGTGGGAGCTGATGAAATGCCAGGAGATCCTGTGATGTCTGTAGGGACCCCAAGGAGTAACGTGGCCCTCAGTTATGGCAACCCAGGCAGCTCTGCAAAGTGCAATGACTTCTCCCTAAGGAAGGGCTGTGCCAGTGGTCAGCTCGAGCCAGGGATCTCCTCTGGAACCCCACAGCCAGGCTGAGCTCCTGGGGTGCAGCGCTGGGATGTGGTTGAGGAATGTCCCTCCTCCTCCTCCTCCTCCTCCTCCTCCTCCTCCTCCCAGGCAAACAGTGCTCAGCACCTCGGGGCAGCTCCTCATAGAATTCCACAGACCTGAGAGTTTCAGTGGTGGGTCTTCCACTGTTCATCCCTCCGAATGATGGGGGAGTCTTTAAAACTGTAGATTCCTGTATTTAATCTTGAAGATTTCACATTCTTGTTACGTAATCGAAGCTCTCGCTACAAAAAGCCACAGGGAAACTCCTTCCTAGCCTTTTCTCCTACTTCCCCTTCCCATATTTTCCAGCTCCATGATTTCTCGGTGTCTCGCCGGGAAAGAGCTTGTGTTTTCCAGGCAGTGCTGTTCCTTTGTTGGAAAATTCTGAGCCAGCACATCCTGTACTCGTGCACTGCCCCCTGCCCCTCACCCTCCCTGCCTCACTCCTGGGGCAGGTTCAGTGTTTACACGAGGGGTGATCCCACCTCCCATACTCCATCCAGGTCTTGGGATCTAATCAAACAGGAGCCTTGGTCCAAAGTCCTCCTTCTCTTGTGCCAAATAACCAAAATCCCCTTTCCTTGCCTTGCCCACAGGGTATGTCCAAGCGTGTCGAGCGCTGATGATCGCCGCCTCCGTGCTGGGCCTTCCCGCCATCTTCCTGCTGATAACGGTCCTGCCCTGCATCCGGATGGGCCACGAGCCCGGAGCAGCCAAGTACCGGCGCTCCCAGCTGGGAGGGATCCTCATCATCCTCCTGGGTAAGGCGCCTGCTGCGTGTGGAGAGCCGGAGCTCTTCCCCTGCTCCAGGAGGGAATGGTGTGGGCTGGCTGAGCGTGTTCACCTGGAGGGATGTTTGTCCAGGCTGCGCGGACTCTGGAGCTCTCCGACATTCCTGCAGTCTGTGGGTTGGATAAAATGCATGGACGGGAGTGGAGGGGACAAAGACAGGAGGCAGGGAGTGAAGCAGGGTGAGGGAGGAGGGATGGGAATCCCACTGTCCTTGTCCTGTGAGTCCTCAGGCACAGCCTGCAGGCACTGGTTTTGCCGGTTCACTGTGGAAGCCACGTTATTTTTGGAAAAAGGTCTAAACTTCCAAGCTGCTTCCAGGGAACGGACAACCTCCACGTTTTCACAGGGCACTGCAAATGCAATGGGGTGAAATAAATGGAGGTGTGTGGGAAGGGAAAGCCCCTACTGAGCAGGGCCTGGTCCTATGGAAACAGCAGGGGAAGGAGCACGGAGCGGGCATGGACATGGGAAGAGGTCTGGTGTGTCCCCCCGTGTCTCCCAACCCCCTCTGACCTGCCCAGCCCTTGGCCTCCAAGTTCCCCTGGGAATTTCTTCCCGTCCTCAGCGCTTGTGGAGGAGATTGTTTTGAGCAGCACAGACTGTGGAGCTCATTGTCCCCCATGCAACACCTGCATGTTCTTGAAGCCTCGTCATCGCAGCAACAGCCTGCGGGGCCTTGTTTTCACCCGTCTGTGTGGCAGAGGAGGAGGGGGGAGGGAAAGTGGCCTCTTTGTGTGGCTCTGCTGGTCGCTGGCAGCCAGCACTGACATCATGCCCGTCTTCTTTCTTCTTCTTCTCTTCCTTATTTTTTTTTCAAGTGGGCACTGAATGTAGCTGCACACTCACAGAAGGGGCTGTCCCCTGGGTGCTCCTTCTGTGCGAGCAATCCCTTCTCCGGCCCCTTGTGGTTGGTACAAGTCCATCCATCCCAAAGCTATGGCATTGAGTCCAAGGGACCCTATCAGTACCTGTAGGGTTTAAGGGCGCATTATGATGGTTGCAAGTCCTAAAATCAGCTTTATAGGGCCTGTTTAGAACATGCTGATCATAAAGAGCCACATTAGACAGCTGTTGGAATGTCATCCCTGTCCCAAAACCTTGAGTCACAGATTTGGGCTCAGCAAAGGGAAAGAAAAAGTGGGCGTATTTTCTGCCTGTGAGTGAAACTTCAGTGCTGGAGGAGTCTGACCAGGTTGGGGAGGCCCAGCAGAGCTGCACTTTGTCGCAAAAGCCTGGAGTTTTTGGTTCCAGTCAAGGAGAACCGTGCTGCAGGCCAGCCCTACTTGTACGGCCGCAGACATGGAGGCAGGAGGGTTGTCCCTAAAAATCCCAGAGGGCAGTGGGATGACAGGACCAGCACACAGGTGGCAAATTGCAGTGGCAGTGTTGGATAATGCTGCATTAGAACAAGTGAAACCCCACATGCTGCAGTGTCACACCAGGGTTTGGGTCTGCTGTGCCACTATCCCATCCTGGTCACGCTGTGGTGGGACACCAGGGAGGAGAAAGGATGTGAGGGGACGATGGAGAGTTGTGGTGCTCCATAAGCCAGGCTCCCCTCTGCCTCTGAGCATGGTTTTCCCACTAGGTAGATCCTGTGAGGAAAGGAAATGTTTCTTTTTTTGAGAAAAAACAAACCAACCCACATTTACTTTTAGAAAGCCCAAGTTTTTCCAGGCTGATCAGCAAGACAGTCCCTTTGGAAGAAGAATAATGTACAGAGCTTTGGACTTTGACATTGTTTAAGTTGATGAATGATCTGTTACTTGCAAAATGAGGTGTTACCATTCCAGAGCATTTAAAAAACACGGATCAGGCCTTGAAAGATATCAAAGTGACTTAAAATCCATTATATTCAAGAAGTAACATGCCCTGGACTGCTCTTATTTCCCCTTGGCCACTGAACTCTCATTTGTGGTTTCCAGAACCTCACAGGCTCCAACCTTTTCCTCTTAGGAGAGAGCAACTCCCAGAGCTCTGGCTAAAAGAAAACAACCCCTAAAACCCTCCTTAACACAGCAGAAATAGGGAGTGGGGATGCAATCAGCAGAACTGGCCCCATGGCAAACTTCACTTGCTCGGGGAAGGGATGGCAGTTTGTCACTGACATTTATTACAAGGGAAAACAGGGGTTGAAACACAGCATGGAGCAAAAAAAAAAAAAAATTATATATATATAAGAAGTTGAAAACTTGCCAGGAAAACAATGGGCTCAGATATTCCATTGATTTTTCTGTCCACTGATAATCACAGGCTGCAGAGTGTAACCTGTGTGCACGCCCTCCTATCCTGCTGCTGATGTGTTTATGGCTTGGCTTGATCCTATCTGACTGAGAGAATTGATTTATTGCTGAAAACAACCATCAGCAGAGGTTCACTCTGAGCTGGTTTGAAAACATTTCATACGCTGGTGTTGATGGAAAAACCCTGGCCCGGCCCGTGTTGTCCCACTAATCTGGGGGACCCCTTGCTGGTAACCCAAGGGGCATCTTCCTAATGGAGGAGAGAGACTGAGACACTGGAAAACACAGATGAAGTATATGTGAGTTAGTGGGAATTGCTACTAGAAAATGACCCATCAGCTATTGTGTACTAAACAAAGGACTTTAATGAGTTTTTCTGGACACTGCATGAGTTTTACTCGCAAAACCATAGGTATCAAGAGAAAAAGATTGCCTTGAGCATAGAACAAAAAATTGTGGGTATCTATTGTTTCAAGCAAGTGCTTTGAAAGAGAAATCTGTGTGACTTTGAGTCAGCAACTCAGAGTAGTTAAATTTAGCTGTGAAAGGAAAGTATTCTTTCTTCTGCAGAAAGCCTTTAACTTACTGTTAAGGAATTTGGCAGGGACTCACTGTCCCTTGGGTTAGAGTAATCCTGCTCCCTCTCCCCCAGCTCCCCAAGTACCTTCTGTGCTTCTTGTTTCTGTGCACTTCCATCTGACTCAAATATTCCTGTAATGTAGAGTATTAAGAGTTCCAGCTCAACTGACTGAGCTACTGCAAGTGGATTCACAGCAATCTGGTAGAGCAAGGACGTTCATGCCATGCAGAGCTGAGATGTTCTAGGTAGAGGCAGTGGCTTTTACAGGATTGCCTGCTCTAGCTGCAGAAAAGCAGGCAAGCTTTCCATCTGTGTGTGCTCCAAAACATACCTGTTTTTCCAACTAACCTGGTTGTTCTAATAGGAAATATTCCTTCTGTTTGCCAAAGGACTTCCTTTCTGCCTGGGCTATACTGGCAGCTCTACTGTCTAAAGAATTTCTTATTTAGAGAGAGGCAAAGGGTCTCTCAGCATTAGCACAAGAGAAGGGGTAATAACTTCCCTCTGCACTCCTTTTCCATGTGGGCAGCTGTTTTAGAACTTGAAATTTGCCCTAAAATGCCTTTTCCAATCCCTTTGGGTTCCTCGTCAAATCACCTGGGTTTATTTCAGGCTTTCCCTGTGATAAAACTAGACCGAAATCTGAGTCCACGGGGAGATACTGCAATTGCTGACTGTCCCTTTTCCCATCTCCTGGGAGGATTTACAGCCCAACTTCATCTGTGCAGGGCGATGAAACCCCGTCCTGTTCCAGGGCATTCCCCTTGCTCAGCAGTGGGGTCACTGGTGACTGACGGCAGCTGGTGGCCTCCAAAGGCAGGGAGGTCAAAAGGACCCATGCAAAGTCCTTGGCTTGTGTTTCACAGCTCTCTGGTATTGTCAGCACTAAAATAAGGTGGTTTCACATGTAGTGGAGCCACACACACAAGAGATGCCATTGTGTGAGCATCCCTGAGAGCTCTTCTCACCCCAGTGCAAGTGTTTTCCTTGCTCCTGTGTTGTGGGGGAGGGTCTGGATACATAAGGCTCTTATAGTCTATAGACAAAAATATATATATTTATATATATTTACTGCTGACAGCAAAAGAAAAGATGATTGTGTTTTTCCGGACAACAAAGCAGCTTTGTTTCCAGAGCCCATTAGAATGCTTTGTGGATTCCCAACTGATACATTTTTGTTTTAAGGCACTGGAAGCTCATGAGCTGTTTGCAGGACTGCTCCACACACGCGGGAGAAATGCTCTTTCCCCTCCCTGCCTTCTCCAAAAATTCCTTCCAAAGCTGCGGGGCCCTTGCTTTGAGGAGGTCCAAAATTATTACTGGCTTTATTAGCATCCTTCAAATGTTCTTCTCTCTTCCATAAGAAAATATTTTCTCTCACAATAGCTGCAGCTTCGGGGATGGGTTTTCTGCTGTACTGGCCAGGAGCTACGGTTTGTTCTCTGCTTTAACCAAACAATTTTATTTTTAATCTCGCCCCTTTCTTTTTCCTTCTTGCAACCTTAACTTTCTGACACTGCCTCCAGATACCTTTTAACACGGTCGGTGGAAATCTGTAACGCTGCCACGGACCTGTTATTGTTTTGCTCTGATTCTCTGATAGCCACAAGGATGGAGTCCTGCACAGCTTGTCCCGGAGGCAAGTAAATATTGACACATTAATTCTTCTCAGATGTACAGGCCATCAAGGAGTATTGTTTTAGGACCTGCTCCTGGGAGGTGATTAACACCATCAACTCCCGTTGCCCTCGGTGCATGCAGGAACTCTGCAGGGACTGTCTCTGTCTCCCTCAAATGTCACCTCACAGCGCCACTGCACCAGCATTCCTGCTTTCTGTGGGAAAAAAAGATGGAATTTCAAGTAAAATGCAAATCCTGCAGTCATTTTCTAGGGGAAATTTCCACTGTAGATTCTAGGTAGAGTCCTGTTCTCCCTCCTGCAGACCCTCCAGGTCCCACTTCTATTCAACTCAGTAAGTTTCTGGAGAGCCTTGCCGAGTTTGTCCCCATCAATTGATAGAAAGTTTCCACATGGAAGCAGAATCTGCTTTCCAGAGTTTTGAGATGTTTCCTTCTCCATAAAAAAATCCTGATAGTGCTGAACTGCTGCTCATTTTTTCTCAGCCCATTTCCTGCTCGTATTTCACAAGGCCCTGCTCTGCCTTGCTGTGATATTTTGGTGACATTTGTGTGACCATTCAGTAGAGCCATTATAATGATGTGGATTGACATGGGCTGAGGACATAGCACATGAATCTGTGCAAAAATAGTGATTTAAATCAGGTGATTCTGGGCCACTGATTTCACATTCTCACTAATGCACACAGCTTTCATGGTCTTGCCTCGTATTTAATCTGTTCCCAATTCTGCAGCTCTCCAGAGCCTCGGTTGCAGGGATGACTCTCATTCTTCCCCCTTAAAGACAATTCTAGGTAACAAACCTGTTCCCCTTCTCATAAACATATCAGATTGTGTCAGGCAGCAGTTGTTTATCCTTCTTGTTGGTGCCTGAGAGCGATGGCTGTTCTGTCTTGCTCCGTCCCATGTTGCCTCCTGCTCGGAGACCTCTCAGAGGGATGGGCTTCCTCTCTGTCCCCTGTCCTGCTGAGCCTTCCTTCCCTTTTGGCATGCTGTGTGTCCCCTGGTGGGGTTTTGTGCTGGAGCCCCTCCTGTTTGGAACCCTGACTCTTTCCTCCCCCTCTCTCCCCAGCCATGTGCGGCGTCGTCGCGACCATCTGGTTCCCGGTGTGCGCCCACCGCGAGACCACCATCATGAGCTTCGGCTACTCCCTGTACACGGGCTGGATCGGCTCTGCCCTCTGCCTCTTCGGTGGCTGCGTCATCGTCTGCTGCTCGGGGGATGCCCAGACGTTCGGTGAGAACCGCTTCTACTACGGCTCGGGGTCCAGCTCCCCCACCCACGCCAAGAGCGCCCACGTGTAACCGCCCCGGGGACGCCCCACGGCTGCTGTCGGATGCTTTGGCTGGTGGGTTTGTGTGCCCTGGGTTTGCTTCTACTGACACACACACGGCTGTCAGGCTCCCAGGGGGAGATTTAGAAAAAGCAGCACAAATGTCTGGTAGTTTGAAGCATTATTCCCCACCCCTCTCTTCCCCATCTCTTCACCCCCTTCTCTAAACAGACAGCTCCAGCCAGCCCTACCTCTTGGTCCCTCCCCGGTTTGTCCCGACCGCCTGCCCTGTCTTCTTGCAGCCAGGATGACTCAGATGGTTTGGGGTTGTCATGTGGGTTTCAGGGTTTTTAGTTTATTTTCTAGCTCCCCTGATTATAGGAGAGTTCGCAGCAATAAAACAGAAATGAGAGAGACACTTTCCCATTGTTAGAAGGACTCTGACAGCTTCTGCCCCCACCTCACTGTTTGCTTTCCCCTGCTCAAGGTCTCGGCTCTGGCACAGTTGGGGAGAGAGGATAGGGAGGAAGGCTGTCCTCTCCCACCGGGCGAATGTTTCTCTTTTGGAACAAGAGGAGGGGACTTTTCTGCCTTTCTCTGTAAATACTTTTGTACGAGTTTCATCATTTTAGTAACAGTATTTCCCCCACCCCCACAGTCATCAGTATGAAGGAAACCGAACCCAAAGGTCCTAATGACGCGGTAGATAACAGTGCCTCTTCAAATAGTTATAAATGACTTTGGGGGCTCTTATCCCCACCCTCTGGTTCAGTTTCTTCTCTTCCTTTTGTACAGATCAGTTACTAAAAATGTATTTTTACATTTTTTTTAAAAAACTTCCTTGCTTTCTTCCTCTAAGTTTGTGTTCTGTCTTGCCTCGTTAAAGCACCACATTTTAACACGCAGTATAATGTACCTGTTACAATACAATTCTGGTGAGTACTGATGATGCCTTTGTACTTTCAGTGAAATACTGTACAATAAATAACAGAGTACCTGCAACCTCTGACTTCATTTTTTTTCCTTCCTTCCTGTGTGTTTCCATAGCTAGTTTTTCCATGACAGGAGTTTCCCAATGACTTTGAAGTTGTTTGGTTTTGTTTTTGGTTTTGTTTTTTTTTTTTTTAATAGCAGTTCAGGATGAAAAATTCTGCTCTGCTGTGGCATTAAGTGGGGAATATTTAAAATATGAGTAATCTTCCTGCATGGGACTGACCCTTATCTTATCCACTGGCTCTTTCAGTGTTCCCAGTAGCAACTTGTACCAGTAGTATCCACTTGTGGGATTCTTTATTATGAAGAAGACTTAGAAACTCCCCAAGGGGGTGGAGATGCACCCCCAGCACTGCCAAGTTGTGACCTTGTGTTGCTGGAAGTGCTCTCAACTAAAAGAAGAGTCTGATCTGGGGTCATTGCTCTGATTAAAGCTGTGTAAGATCAAGATCTGACTCTGTCCTTACCAGAGGCTGTAGGAATTTAATTATGTTGATACAAAATCCCATCTGTTCCCAGAGATGTTAACTCAGTTCAAATAATTTGTGTAAGCCAGGAGAAGGGAAAGAGGAATAGCTGATGTTCAGGGGTGGGCATGGGAAGAGCCCCAGTGGAAAGGCGAGGGGAGGAACAGGGTCTGAGCAAGCAAATTGTTTGGGGTGACAAAGAACAATTTGAAAACAAGGCTGTGGATTTGGGACTGCTTCAGTAGAAGCCAAACTGGGCAACACAGCCACGTAGCTCCCACCTCTCCCCACTCCCCCCGCTGTGGGAAGCAGAGGCTGAAGCATTTCAAAGGAGCCAAAGGGAGGCTGATTGCGCTCCACAGCTCCCCTTGGCCTGCCCGGGCCAGGGACGGGCAGCAGCCCCAGCATCTGCCTGCAGCGCGGGGCAGCCTTGAAGGCGGCTCTGTTGTGCGCGCTGTGCCTCGCCCGCCGTGCCGGACGATGTCCCCAGGGCGGGCAGGGCCGGTGGCAGGACACTTGTGCCCATGACATCACAGGCAGGGCACAGGCAGTTGTTGTGCGCGCCGGGCGCTGTCAGTGCTGCCATTGATGTGCGGGGTGCCACGGGCGAGGGGGCGGCGCACAGACGTGCCAGCTTGTGCGGGCTGCCCGGGGATTGTGGATTGTGCCCCGCGGATGGAGCCCCGGGATTTAACCCCGGGACTGACGGCGGCGGCGTGGGAGCAGGAAAACCGCCCGAATGCTGCCCCGCAAGCAGCCCTGGAGCAAAGCCGGAGGGGAAAGCGCAGGAATACCCCTCTCTGGTGCTTGAACGGGGTCTCTTTGGCAAGGTGTTGGTGCTGCTGGAGGTGCGTGGCCTGATGGGGAACGAGCCCTGCCAGGCAGCACAGGTTTTTGTTTTTTTTTTTTCCTGTCCGCATCCTTGGGCTGCACCTTGTCCCGTCCAACTTTACCCGTTCTGTGATTCCATGATCTTCAGGCAGGTGGGGCTGAGGGCCCTTGGCAGGGGGTGGTGCCGGGGTCACAGCTTACCCGCGTCCGACCGCAAACGCAACCCTTAAAAAGCCCTGGGCAAGCTGCTGAGAAGGAAGAGGCTTTATTTCGGGGAAGTAAAAAATCAAACTAAACAAAACAACCCCACAGCAGTTGCGGGAAACACTTACTGTCTGCAACTGTGGGGTGCGAGGAGAAGGGGCCAAGAATGTGACAGGATATTAGTGCTGGCACTGCAGAGGGGAAGCGTTCAAAGGAAGCACAAAGAACACTAAACTATTCAAGTTTTTCAAGGATCAAAGCTGAAACACCTGCTTTGTGCCCTCCCCAGACACGCTGCTCTCCTGTGGGATCTCACAGGCAGGGATGGCCATGGCGTTGTCGACTCTTGAAGGCTTTTTGGTGCTTGTTTGCTGACTCAAAGCCTCAAAATAGGGTCAAATAGAATTGTCTTGAATGGAAAAACTGCTCCACACCGTGTCTGCCATCAAGTCTGGGGCGGTGGGTGTGAGCTGTGGTGGTCACCCCGGTGCGGTGGTGGTGGTGATCCCCGATCCACCAGGAGCAGCTGGAGCTGGTGATCCCATCCCCACGATGGGGAATGCACACAGCAGCCTCCCCACACCCCAGATAGCAGGGATAGAAGGAAAAGGACCATGAGGGGACACTGGTGGCCCTGAGCACCCTAAAGGGGACAGGCAGCTGTGTTTTCACAAGCAAAGCCTGGCTCCCCAACAGCCCCGGTGCTTGTGCAGGGAGGGGACAGTGCTGTGACACCCCAGTTCCTCCAGGGAAAGGTGGGTGTCAGGAGCAACACACACAGATGGGAAGACCAGGTGCAGTAACCTGGTCATTGGCTTTAGGCTTTTTCTTTCTTTTTTTTTTTTTTTTTTTTTTTTTTTTTTTTTTTTTTTTTTTTTTTTTTTTTTTTTTTTTTTTTTTTTTTTTTATTACTGTGTAAATGGATAACCATTTTCTCTCACAACAGTGCAAGTCAATACCAAAGTCAGCTCACTGAAATGGATATTCTACAATGGAAATTTTGAAGCACCTAAGGCAAGATTTTTTTATCCCTAGCTTCAATTGAGCACTGAAAAAGTATCAGACCTTCAGGTACTGATTGGCTTAACAAAATTTACATGGGAAATTTTATTTTATTTTTTTTTGTTTAGTCTTTCATTTAAAAGATTTACATTACTATGGAAACTGATACTAAGACACATTTGTCTCTGGCTTTCTTTACAAATCCCTTAGTTCTTCTTTGATTTTTAAATGTAAAGGCACACAATAAAGCTTTATGCATTTATTAAAATATACAGATTTTGGTAAATTTAGATTTTTTTTTCTTAGTATCTTGATTATATATATGTATTATATGTATAGTTGTCAACAACACAATCATTTGAAAATAAAAATCACTCCATAACATATCTGCATAAATTTTTTTCTTTCTCATGACACACTACAAGATCCCATTGTACAATGCACCAATGGGCTTCTGGAAACCACAATAAAAAAAAAAAAAAAAAAAAAAAAAAAAAAAAAAAAAAAAAAAAAAAAAAAAAAAAAAAAAAAAAAAAAAAAAAAAAAAAAAAAAAAAAAAAAAAAAAAAAAAAAAAAAAAAAAAAAAAAAAAAAAAAAAAAAAAAAAAAAAAAAAAAAAAAAAAAAAAAAAGGATAGAACAAACTGCTTTTAACAAATACACCAACTTCATACCAGAACTGCAGAGAATTGTTACACCAGAAAGTACCACCTGCAAAAAAAAAAAAAGCAAGATATACATCAGAGAGACCAAACAAAACAAAGTGAAGGTCATTTACAAGCTGGATTTACAACATCCCATGTTGTTCGGGGTGTGATTTCGCTGCCACGTGGAGGATGCCAGCGGGCTGGGCCTCGGACAGAGGGGCTGTGATGGTGCAGAGTGAATTTGTGGAGGGGGCTGAGATCTTACAGAGTTGGTCTGGAAGGTCTGAGGTATTTATGCTCAATCTGTACCATGCATTGGGCCCCTCAGGAGGGGTGGTCAGGCGTGGAGGGGCTGTGTGCCTCTCACCGGTGGTGGGAGCGGGACGGTACCGCTCTGCCTGTACCCTCCCGATGGGCAGGGATGTGAGAACATCCCTCTGGGCACCCAGGGAGAAAGGCTGGATTTGGGCTTACAGCAAAACCAGCACTTGTACCTCTTTGCAGCACCCAAGAGCTGTGCCAGAGGCGATGGACACACCTGGACATTTCGCCTTGGCAGCTCTTGCTCGTGCCCACTGATGACCCCAACGCTGCTACAAGAGAGCACACGAGCTCCTAAATGGAGACTGAACCTGCATGTCCCACAGGAACTGCCCCCTGGAGCAGGGGCAGGGATCCTGCTGTGAACCAGGCCTGACCCAGCCTGTGGCTTGGCCGCTTCTCCTTAAGCAGCTCTGCTGGGTGGGATGTGGTGGCCTTGGGAAGAGGGTACAGCTCCCAGCCCTGACACGGCGGGAGCTGATGGCAACCCATCCTCACCAGGCAGCGCCGTGCCATCAAACGCTGTTTCCTGGCAGTCCCAGGATGTGGCACAGCCACCCTGCCCCGGCACTTCCTCAGGAAGGGGAAGGAAGATGGGGTGAACGGGAACAAGAGCAGCCAAAGGGCTTCACTCGATGCTGGGATCCAATGGAGAGGTTCCTACAGACACCAAAGAGCAAGGGATCAAGCCCCCACCAAATTATACGGCATAACTAGAGCAGACACGACGACAGACACTGAAACTGGTAACTGCTCTGTAGCAAGAGATTAAGGCTGCAAGAAGAATAACGGGCTTTGATTCAACGGGGTACTTGGGCTTGAGTTTGTGGCTCAGCAGACGCCTAAATACCGTGCGGAAGCAGGACCAAAACGACTACCTCGGATACGGTACAGTACAAGAGCTGGTAGGAAAATAGCATCAGTCTTTCTCCCTGAAAACGTTAACGCCAGACCTGCGAGGTGCCATCTCTCTCTGGGGAACTTCTAAGGCATCGAGGAGGAGAGCAGCCAAGCGTGGGTGAGTGGTGACTGTTGCAAGAGGAGCTCAGCACCACCGGGAAGGTTTCCCGAGCTGGCCCGTGCAGTGAGCGGCGCACACTTTGCAAACAGCTTTTCGGTGGGACGCACTCTGGTTTTCTGCTGTAGAAGCGTGGTGGGCGGCACGAGGTGATGCCAGAGCAAAGCTTACAAGTCCATCAGCCAAATCTTCACGCCCAATCTGAAGCCCCCACAGAAGTCAAACGTCCCTCGGCTCGCCCGGAGCGCTCCAGATTAATATCTGCAGAATCAGATGCTCTCCTCCACTGGGGAAAGGACTGTAGTTTGTCACTGTTTGGGACAGGAGCTGCAGGGAAACTTTTGTGGCCCCAGGCAGAGCCTCTCCATTGAACTCTCGAGCTCTGGGAACAATGAGGGTGTGCAAACATTCAGACACCCTCTGCACCCAGCAGCCACTTATCCCCAGAGGGTGCCAGGCAGGTGTTTTGGGGACTGAGCCTCATTCAGTGAACCAAAGTGTTAATGGTTCTCATTATCCATGAGGACATTTCCATGTTGGAAATTCTGCCCCCACTGATATTAAACTGTCCCCTGGAATGCCAGCAGCAGCACCTGATACCGGGGATTGGTCTGGGCTGTGCTGAGGAGCCCCAGGGATGGATTCATCTGTGGCCTTCAGCAGGCAGGAGGAGGATGAGTGTTGCTGTCTGATGGGGTGCTTTTTTTTGGTTATTATTCATTCAAAAAGATGCTCCTCCATCACAGTGTTTTACACTAAGCTCGATGGGCTTCAGCACTGGACCTGCTGCTAATCAGTGACCAAACCCCATCACTGCCAGTGGTTCTGTGGGGACACCGGCAGCAGGGAGTCTGATGGCACTGCTAGGGGCCATGGCCATGCCCAGGGGGTTTAACATCCACCTGCTGACCACCTCTGCCCCACGAGCCGCCAGCTCTGTTTGGTTTCAGACTGAAATATGGACACTTAAGGAACGAGCAGCATTTCAGTGTTTTTCATACAGCACCCACCAAGCCAAAGTCAGAAACAGAGGGAATGGTACAAGTTGGAGATGGCAGCAGGGAGACAGATTTCAGCTGCCGAGTCCTCTCTGCTCACCACGTGTGGCCCAGCCCTGTCAAGGCGTGGCTGACCCAGGGACGCTGCTGTTTTGAGAGGGCATGGATGCATCCCTGAAGCACTGAGGCCAGAGCGAGCACTGAAATGTGCCCAGCACGGTGAGGGAATGATGGTGCAGTTGTTTCTGGAAAGGACACAAGGTGCTGGAAGCAGTGCTCAGCCTCAGACAGGTGATGTTCAGAGGAGCAGCGTGTGGTCCTTGTCGACCATTCGTACAAGGTGGGTTAGCCAAGAGTGGTTCACAGCCCTCGCTGTGACCCGAAACGGGACCAGGGTCCCAACTGCAGATTAGGGATGTTGGGCCGTGCTGGGACTTCAAGGTTGGACTAAGACATGGATTACTTTTGAATCCCTGTATTTGGGGTACTTGGGTTCGGGGTGTGGGGGTGGACTTCGGGGTAGCACTGCTGTGTGCACTGGGTGCCTTTGCCCCAGAAGGGGCCATGGAAACACTGTGTGATGGAAACAACCATCGACCTCTGAGCTACTCCCTGGAAAGAGCTTGTCCATCTCCATTTTGTACCCACCCACCCACCCGTGCCTCTGGCTCAGCTGTCACTTTAGGTGATTCAAAGGAGAAAAAACACACATGCCAAGAAAGTGCCAAAAATGTAAGAGTGGCATCCCACCGCTGTGGCCTTCAGGTGGACATTCCCCGGGGACAACTTGTCTCGTCCCCTCGTGCGGCTCCTTCCACCTCTCAACACCCTCCCAGTTTGGCACGTCTCCCACTCCAGTGCCTCCACTGGTGCAGCTGGTGCCAGGAGATCAACCGGTGCTGGGGGATCAGCCAGCGTTCACCGGGGCGAGACCCGACTGGTGGAGCTGGGACGGGCCACGAGTGATTTTGGTTCGGGGTCGACGGCAATCGCAGAGCGTGTCCCGAGGACCGGAGGTGAGCAGGGCGGTGGTGGAGGACCCGGGGAGGATGGGACAGGATGGGGGAGCCACAGGGACCCTTCCTCGTGGTCTGAGTGGCGTGGTGCCCCGCTGCCCATCCCCCTACTCGGGCGAATAGTCCAACTCGTCGTTGGCGATGAGAGCCTCTGACGGCGCTTTGTGCCTGCCTTTGCTTTTCGACCTGCTACTTGTCCGATGGCTTTCCTTGGCGCCCGCCATTTGCTGGTACGAGAAGCCCTTGTCCTCGGGAGGATCCCAGCCCGGGTAGCTCTCGCCCTCGGGGGCGAAGGAGAAGCCGTCGTCCACGGAGAAGGGGTCGACATCCACGTCGTAGCGCTGGTAGGTGCTCTGGTGCAGGGCCTCCTCCCGGGCGCTGATCTCCAGAGTGCTGTTCCACATCCCGTAGCCGAAGTAGATGAGCAGACCTGCAGTGGGTGAGAGGGAGAGGGTTGGACCCCAGCTAGCTGCTGCCCCTGCCTGATCTCACCTTCCTGCACCAGTGCTTTCCCTGAGCGCAAATGCATCCAGAGATCTCATTTCCAGTTGATCCTGGGATTAACCTACACCAGACGTGTGCACGGAGAAACCCCGGATTCCTCCACATGCTGTGGACTGACCACAGGGGACTGACTGCTTGTGAGGTTAAATCAGGACCACACGCCTCTGCCAGAGAAACCAATGGGATGTGCCTCTCCCAGCACACAAACAGCTGTGGATGGGCTGCTGGAGCCCATAACACCTAATGCAGGGGCTTAACTCACTTATTGCCAGTGCTGGCAGCTGAGGAGGTATTAGATGTACCCGCAGGGGAAAGTACTTAATCACAGCAGATTAAATTGATGCTTTGGAGTCATCTTTGCTTACAGGTAGAAGGGCTTTCCCTGGGTTTGCAGCTTCACCTATTGCCTTCAAGGCACAAAAAAGCCCTGAGTATGGCTTCTCCATGCTGCAGGTGGCAGCTCCTGCTCAATGGCTCAGCATGGAGGAGGTATGAGAGTTGCCTATTTCTCTTGGGTTTGTGGAGTAAGTGGGTTGCAATGTGAAGCAAGGGAAACTGTGGATATGCTGGACTCCTGGCTATGCGTCAGAAAGCCTAAATTTGGGGGGAAAAGGGGTCCACAACACAGCCTGTGAGCCCTAAGGTGCTCCTGCCACATAGTTAAGAATTTAGACCAAGGAGACACATTCTACTGGTCCCTTGGTTCTGTCTTCCCCAGGGCTGTTGGAGTTGGGCAGCTCCAGGCTTTGGAAACAGTGCTGAGATATTGGTGTGGGCTGCTGAAGAGCTCAAGTGGGTGAAATAGCAAGAAAGCAGGCTGATTTCTGTACGAAACCTGCCTGCCAGGCAATTTCCAGAACCCGCCTACCTTGCATCACAAAAGCCATCAAAATAGTCACCTTTGCATGCAGCAGTTTGCTTCCATCAAACTGACATTTCCTGGAGGTGTAATTTTCCATTTAGGTGTGGTTCAGGGGCTTGAGAAAATGAGATCTCTAAGAACTCGAGGATGACACGGGGCAGACAAAGAGGACTGGGCATGTCCCAGCTGAAGAAGCCTCAGCCTAAGCACTCCAAGTAGGGAAGTTGTTATTATTACCAACCTTTCAAAAAAGTGTCAGTTAAAAAATGACGATAAATGGATCTGGGACTCACCCACAAAACACCAGACGGCAAATCGGATCCACGTGACCGTGGAGAGCTTGAGCATGAGATAGATATTCACCAGCATAGCGAAGGCAGGGACGAAGGGCAGACACGGTGCCATGTAGGGCAGCTTCTTGGGGTTTTCTGGCTGCTGCAAGATGACGAACACCAGTACAGCGATGAGCAGGACCATCAGCACGACCAGGAGGACAGCCCACCAGCTCTGCTCGGAGATGTAGTCTGCCCCGAAAATGATGAAGGAGCAGAAGATGAACATCAGGACGAAGAGCAGGAGCACGCAGGTGGTGACAGTGTGGCCGGTGGCCGCCGTCGGACGGTCCATCTTCCCCGGCAGCCCCAGGTGGATCCGCATCGTGTAGTATCGAGGGCCAATCAGCTTCTTCAGCTTGATGAGGTAGATGTTCTCAGACTCATCTGCCTCTATCCCCGAGGTCATGTCGACCGTGCCGTAATTGGGGTGATTCACATTGTAGGCGGATTTGTCGGATTTCCCAATCAGCATCTCGTTGTCCCCCAGCGACGGCAGATTCTTCGCCCCGCACGTGTTGGTCGGTGGGCCGGAGAACTCCTCTCCCTCGCTCCCTGGGGAGCAAGCTTCCTTCTCACAGTCAGCCAGGATGCCCTCCTTCTTCTTGGTGTGCTCCTCGGAGAGGAATTTGACAAAGCCGTCGATGTCGCTCTCGGGCTGGTAGCGGAGGAGCAGGACGCAGACGGACACCAGCGTGTAGGCGAGCAGGGTGCCGATGGACATCATTTCTATCAGGTCCCGCAGGCTGACCAGCAAGGACAGCAGCGCCGCGAGGAACCCGGAGACGATACAAGCCACGACGGGAGTTTCCGTGTAAGAGCTGACGTGGGACAAAAACCTGGAGCACAAAAGAGTCGCAGAAGGTTAAAATTGCGTGTTCACAGCAGTTCTCTGCTGCAATAACCCATCCCCAGCTGGAAGGGACAGACTCAGGGCTGGGATCCCTTCAGGTCTTGTTGCTTTTTGGAGCTTAGGCTCCAGACAGCTGGTGACTGGCAGTACTGCTGAGGCTGGATCTAGAGTTAGATCTGGGTCTGAACAGCTCTGAAATGGGCGCTGGAACACTTGCAAATAAGCACCTAGATTTTATGTGTATAAGTTGATCTCCTTTGCAAGTAACTGTGGAATTAAACCCTCATCCTCACATACGAGGAATCTCCACGTACCAGCACCAAATGAGAAACTTCTGGATAGACCACTCCCGATATTCCCCCCCCAGGATATTGTTTTGGTGTGTGCCCTGCTCTGCAAGCGGTGTGTCACTGCGTGCCCATTGCTCCCTGCACTGCAAGGGTGCTGGGGCACAGCACAGCCCCCACCCCCCTGCACAATTCCCCTCCAGGTCCCAAGGGGCCAAAAACAAATGCCAGTGTGGGCATGACTGACCTGAAGAGCAGCCCATCACCAGCCATGGCGTAAATGACTCTGGGCATCGGGAAGAGGGAGCCCAGCAAGCTGACGGTCAGTCCAGCCACGGACCCGATGGCAACGATGAATTTGGCTGCGTAGAAGCCGTGGACCACAAACATTTCCATCAGAGGGGACTCGGTGTCGATGGCATCGTAGGGCACCATCAGCGTGAGGATCATGCTCACCTGGGGAAGGGCAGAGGAGCAGGACAGGGGTGTCAGCAGCAGCTCCAGCAGCTGCTGGGGACTCTCAGGGTGTGGGGGCTGCTTGTCAAAGGTGGAAACCCAAAAGATTTCAAGTCTGGTTTGGATTGTACTCCTATGTCCCCTGTGGAGGGGATGTAAAATGCTGGAGGCTGGGTCTGTACGTGCGTTGCTGTGGGGTGGTTAATCCAGAAAACTGGGGGAACTTGGTCCCTGCTATTCAAAGGCAAGAAAGGGACACTTGAACCTTGCTGTAGTGCTAACACAGGAGTCAAATGGGACTGGTGTGATTGGTGGGGCTGGTGGGACTGGCAGGGTCAGTAACATTCCCACTGACCACGTCGTGCTGCTGGGACAGCGCTACCTGAGACTTGCATTCCTGATGGGACAGACCCCAAATCCCGATTGTATTCCTTTGGGAAACACTATGATCCTATTTGAGCCAAAGAATTTGGTTTTGCGAGAAGCTTTCTTTGAAATGATCAGAACAACGTTTTTTCTCCCCCATGGCTCAATTTTGCTCCCTTACAGGGAAAATCCCTGAGCACATACATGCATTTGTTGGGTTGCAGAGCAGCAGAATCTCTCACATGGCCATCCCTGCCCATCCCTCCCCTCACTTGGACCCTCTCCCATATCTCCAGCAGAGGCAGTGCTGCTTTTCCCAGAAACACAGAGAAAGGATGCTGCAATGCTTTTCCTTCTGCTTTCCTGCAATCCTGGATGCAAAAATAGCTGTGGGTGGGGATGAGGAAAAAAAAACTCTGCCACCATGTCCCTGCAGCTGGAAGAGGGGTCTTGTCAGGTGACAGGAGCCTGGGGACAAACCAGGCTGTGACCAAGGGGAGCCTTGGCAGGTACTGCAGGCACGTGGAAACAAAATTGATGTCATTTCCTACCAAGGAAAGGGACCTTGTCCAAGGGTCAGACTGGCACCTTGGCTCACCTCACCTCAGACTGGGGAGGGGAGCTGTGCAGATGACCAGAAGGGACTCACACTATACTTATGTATATGTATTAAAAAAAAAAATATCTGCTTACATGCATATTTCTGTACATTTACCCTGTAGAGATGGTACTTACAGACACATATGCTGTCAAGCACGTGACCAGTGAGGCTGTGATGGCGTAGGGGATGGAGGTGTTGGGATTCTTGGCTTCTTCCCCCGTGGTAGCGATGATGTCGAAGCCGATGAAGGCATAGAAACAGGTCGCAGCCCCTTTGAGCACCTGCATGGAGGATCAACCTTCTGGGTGCCAGGAGGGTGGCTGGCACCCAGCCAGGGAGAGGGAGCTGAGCAAAAACTGAAGGAGGCCAGTTCTGCCTTGTCTAAGCTAAGGGGTGAGCGGGGGCAGATCAGGGGATGCACACAAAGCTAAAGACTGACCCCAGGAGCACCCCTAACCCAGTGATCCAGTCTGGGGGAAAGATTTCTGTGTGTGTCCTGAGCCACTCGAGGCACCTGCAACTCAGGGCACACCACAGAACCTGTGCCCACTCAGGGCCCCAGTGGCAGGGGAAAACAATCCACCGATTTCAGGTTTGCTTTCGCAGTCCTCCACCCCAAATCCGTTTACATTAGCAGGGATTTGGAACATGTTTACACGTCCTGTGTTAGCAAGATGTCTCATGGGGCAGCGAGAGCCGCTAGCAGAGGAAGCAGGAGAGAGCAGCAGCAGTCAGATGTGTGCCGCTCTCCAAACAACCCCTGTTTGGCTTGGAAGCTGCAGACAGGTTAGGAGCACACGTTGGAGCCCTTGGATGAAGAATTATTTGTACTGTTTGGTTATTTTTTTTTGATGTGATTTTTAAAAATATACAATACTAGCGAGGACATTTGTAGGAAAGAGATGCTGAAGCAGGGTAAAGACTGCCTGGTTGTGAGTGAGCTGATCTGGAGCTGTGAAACTCTTCCATACATCTTGATTGCTTGCTGGGCACCACCTGTCCATCACAGCTCTGTCATCTCAGTCACTGGCAATAGGGAACACAGTAAAACTCACCTTTTTTAGGGACTATCTGTAATTACCTTTTAAAGTATACCCTTTACTGCTTTTACACCTCACTCTTGTGCTTGGTGGATTTACTTTTACAAACAACTTGTGGGACAACCAACCAGCTGAACATGCTGGGACCACCCTGTTGGGTTTGATGTGTTTTGGACATGTACCTTTTCAAACTGAGGGGTTTTGCTCTCAGCTTGGTGAGTTGAATTTGAGCAAAACAGGTATTTTCTATTCCCTCTTTTTCACTCCTGCTGTATGGCATAAAAAGCCAAGCACAACCCGAAGGTAAAGATGACCTCTGCCCTCAAGTGAGCCTCAGTGCTCTTCTCCTCACTGTTGTTCTCTGGCAGAGAGGTATTGATTTACTGAAGGGAGGTACAGGGACTGTATGGCAGCTTGGGATCCTTTCAATTATCAAGATTCTTGGTTTACTTTACTTTCTTGCTTGTTTTTCTGCACAAAACCCCAATGGAGTCGAGCAGTGTAAATCTGAGAAATTATCTTGGGTTCAGGCCAGCTGAGATATTTTCAGTCTCTGTTCATCCTTGGATAAAAACCAGTGCAAGCAAGCTAAAAAAGCCAAATATGTCCAAATTCTCAGTAAGCTATGAGGGAACATCCATAAAATAAGTACTGGCAGGTGACATTATGAAGTGCTCAAAACAAATGCTTGAGAACATTGTTGTTGAAAACCAGCCAACACAAGTATCTCCCCACTCCACAGAGGCTGAGCCAGCTCCTCCAGAGCTCCCTGCCTCGGATGGCCACAGCATTTTGCTCCGTGGCCTGGTAATTAGTGGCATTTCCTGGGGGATACTTCCATGTGAGGTTTGGCTCTCCAGGAGGGCATTTTGGAGAAGTTCTGGGTTTATGCTAAGAGGTATCAGGAGACAAAAGCAAAGCACTGCTGTACTCTTTGAGCAGGTCTGGATCCAAGCCTGCGGTCCTGGGATTTGGAGGTCCCTGGCCAAAGCACAGGTGGGTTTGGCAGGGTTGGGGTTTGGAGGGTGCAGTGGAAGCAGGGTGTGCACCCCGTGGGCAAAGCTGAGTGTGTGGCACCATTTAGGTGCTGCGTGTCCCTCCACGTGCCCAGGACTTACCCCTGGCCATCCAAACGGCAGGAATTGCCCTTCAGCCCAGTTGTCACTTTTGATGTAGAAGAGCCCAGCAATCATGATGAAGATCCAGACTGCCAAGTTAATGACATTGAGCACGTTGTTCAGCCCCACCGAGTTCTTCACCCCCATGGCCACGATGATGGTGACAATGACAGCAATGACCAGAGCAAGAAGGTCGGGGTATGACTCCTCTCCCTTCCCTAGGTGAGAGAAAAGAGGTGTGTTACTCTCCATCCACAGCATCACCAGGAGCTCTGTGGGGGAGTTTTAAACACTTTCCAGACCTTGAAGCTTTGCAGAACCCACTGGTCTCATTGCAAAGGCGGTCTCTAGATAGCCCCAACTCCACCAGCTAAAGTTGTTTAATTAAGGTGGTAAATAGTGACGCCTCAAGACACTGTTCAGAGTTTTGGGAGAGCAGCAAACAAATGATCAGGTCCCAGTTTGCATAACACGTATCTGACAAATACTCATTAAAAATCCATCAGCCATGAAGTTTTCATGACACAGGTACAGGACATCTGGCTGGTTTACTTACTGATAGGACCCATGGGAGTGTTGCTGGAAATGATGGTCATACAGGATCACCACAGCCCCGAGTTTGTCCGTGGCAGTGCCGCAGACACCAGCCTGTGCTCTCTACCAAAATTCCGTGTGTGCCTCAGTGGGACTGAGCAGGGTGTTTGCACTGGGTGAAGTGTTTCTGTGCTGTCACTACCCTTTGACATTTGACTGTTTCTGTGCATTTACTCTAAATTCCAGCGCATCCCGAAGGGGCTCAACTTACCCCGTAACCCACCCCCTCAACCCCTGCCCGCAAACCCGCCTGCCGAGGCAGAGCAGCAGGGCCAGACAGACGGTAAATACTGAAAGAAGCCTAATATCCATGTCTGACTTCTGACGGAGCTTCCAATTTGCTTTCCAGACCCCCACTACTCGGAGGCGCGGCGCACCCAGCCCGTTCAGCGTCCCAACGCTGCTGATCATCCAGCGGCTGATGGTGTGGTTGGCCAGCGAGTCGAACATGCTGCTGAGGGCGCTGGCCCCCGCGGCCGTGCCGATCAGGTACTCCAGGATGAGGTTCCAGCCGATGAAGAACGCCACGAACTCCCCCACGGTCACGTAGCTGTAGGTGTAGGCGGAGCCCGTGGTCTTGGGGACGCGCACGCCGAACTCGGCGTAGCAAACGCCTGCGTGGGGAAATGCGAGGAGACATAAGGAAGATGTGCTTGGAAGAGGAGGTAAGCGAAACTGCCCTGGTGGCACCTCCCAGGAGGTGCCGGGAGGTGTCAGGGCAGCAGCCAGCATCAGGAGCCCAGAGACATCGCAGGGGGCCACGGTGACCCTCCATCCCCGGTTTCCTGGCTTGAAAACCAGACAAATTTCCACTAAAATCAGGTTGTGATGGATTTTCCTTTTTGAGGAGACACAGTTCAAACTAGCTAAATGTTTACATGGCATCCTGGACTGCTGTTGCCCAGATCAAGATGCCACTGAAGGGCTCACACAAGGCTACGCCTCTCCCTGCCCCAACCTTCCCATCTCCAAACAACTGTTATTGTGTTATTGCCAGGTCCAGGCACAAGCATCCCTGCTCATCCCTGATCATCCCTGCTCTTGTTCATACCCATGCAAGAGTAGTTTGAAGACATCTCACATAGAGAACATTAGTTATTTTAACACTTGAAAAATGTTATATTTAAATCTTCCAAAGAATAATTGCAAAACTAACTGTGCAGAAGGAGAAAAGAAAAGCAAAAACTGGAATAACTGGAACTGTTTGGGAGAAGAATTCAGCGGACATTAATACCTTCTGAACTCCTTGTGTGCTTACTATGTCAGGATAATTTTTAATAAAAACTTGACCCTGACACATTGATGCCTTAAAACAATCATTAGCTTTTATTTAAAAGGAATGGATGGACTTACTTATAAATTCCCCAAATATTAGTCAGGACCAGAGCCAGAAGGGCACACAGTGTCTTGCATGTTTAACACTGATTAAACCCCAAAACCACTGCCCCAAAGACCCCAGCACAGCTCATATGGGTGAACTGGTTAAGGCTGTTACTATCATTGTGTAAACACTTAGTAATTATTGAATTCTTTACCATATACTATTCTCTATTTAAAAGATAATAATTGCTTCAAATTTGCAATCACTTCAGTATAGAGAGGGGAATGAATAATTTATAAAAACATTATGAGGTGGCTGCTCTCACTCTAAGTGCAGTTTTTATACAGTACAAACACAGATTTTTTGAATCTCTTAAACTGAATTTGGTGGCGCTTCTTTTCTCGGTGTTGGATGACTTTTATATTCCATTCACTCTTCAACCTGCATGTGTGTTGCTTTGCAATGGGGCTGTTCAAAACTTGATTTCTGTAAAGCAGCCCAACAGGAGCTGCAAAACATCCCCATCATCCATCCAGCCCTACTGACAGTCATTATTCAAAGCTGATGAAAAATGCATGTGCTCTGCAAAGGTACGACGTTCACAGATAACTACAGGCCTGAATGATTTATGAAACTGGTGCTCTGATGGGGACAGGTATCTAGTGTCACACTCTGATGGCCCTAAAAATCATACACACTTTCTTGGAGGCAGCTCTGCTTTTGGCCAACGACAAGATAACAAGTTAAAGACAACTGTGATCGATACACGGAGCAAGGACATTAATATGTAAAAAATGTTTGAGTTTTCAATTGTTCTGCTAGGAGCCCAAAATAGAAGGGAAGTCTCTCACTAGGCATTGGTTACAGCAATACATTATGGTTATCAGCATTAGGTATCAGCATATTATATGCATATCTATAAAATACATATTATATATAGTAATCTGCTGCATCTGCAGTGTAGAATAATACTACTAAAATTATTATTATTACTATTACTACTACTACTGCTGCTACTACGATTACTACTACAATATAACTACACAACAACACTGTGAGTTACTCCTTGGCAGCCTGAGCTGTTCAGCACCTTGACCCTCTGTATCCAGAGGGATGCAGCTCTCCCAGTACTCCTGCACAGTCCAGCTTGGAGGCTGCAGGAAGAGACTAGGCACATCCTCTGTGCCACAGCTCTTTGAATTTGGAGACAGATTTCTCTTTCCCCCCCAGTCAAGAGTGTTTGCAAGCTTCTGAAGGAAACAAGCCAACACCGTGGCTGTTTGGAAGGGCAAACATTCTACAGAGGACACCATTTCTTGTCCAAAAATGTCTGCTACACTTGTGCAGTTGGTGTGGCAGTCATAACACTGGTGTCATTACACAGTGGTTGACATTATTCAGCAGGACATAAACACAGCTGAGGGGTTTGGTCCACGGCATCGGCCCTTCTAAGATCCCATCTACAGAAGAGCTGCTGGGCAGCACAACTGGTGGAATGAGGAACTGGTGCTTTTGGTGTGCTGGGATGGTGGTGGCCACAGTGTGGATTCTGACCCTCCCAATACTGCCTGGCACAGGAACTATGAGACACCTCACAGGGCACTGGCATGATGGGAGTGACGTTTCAGGTGAAAAAAATAAACCTTCAGAAAGAGGCCTTTCAGATGCGCTGGAGGTAACACCAAATAATTCATGTTACCATGCAAAAAACCCAGAAGGGTCACCCTTTGTTAATGAACAGCATCCAATTAATTGAGGCAGTCACATTATTTGCAGCAAGCCACTGAGCCTGCCCATTCTGTTTCATGATCACTGTGTGCTGATATATAAGAGGCAGCTTCGTAAAGAAAGATTCCTTAGAACAAGGACTCTCATCTCTCCAGCTCCACCCAAGCAGCTGCAGCTGGATCCCCTCAACCCAGCCCTCATCCTGCAGCCAGGCAGCACCTGAGGCACATGCTCAGCTCCCTCCTGCTCCATGGAGCGTCCTGCCTGCTGGTGAGCTGTTCCCACATGGGTACCAGGTAAGACCATGGCACTGTGCTCCCTACAAGGCTGTATTACTTCAGGAGAGGAGATCACCAAGCAAGAGCTGGTGAAAAAGGCTGCAGAGAGGGTGGTGAGGTTGGGTGAGATGCAAACTGTTGACTTTTTGCCAAGAAGGGGGCTTGGTTAGACATGGGTGTGTGAGTGGGAAATCCTGGTGGTCAGAGGAGCCTGCAGAGGCTTTGTGGAGGGAAGCTTCTACTTGAGAGCTAAATAAAAGGCCTTCCAATGAGAGGATAATTGATTTAATTTAGTTTATCAGGTTAATGGATTGTAGTGCGTGTGTAAGTACCCTGATAGGGTACGTGTTGCTTAAACCTTGGGGCAGGAATTTGTTGAGTAGATGAAATTGGAAAAATCCCCATCTGAAACTGGGCTGAACAGTGCAGAGGGGTTTCCCACTGTCAGAGATCCCAAGTGAGCTGGATGACTATCTGGATGGTATTGGTCTTGTTTGTTTGCTTTTTGTTGTTGGAAATTTTTTTAATCCAAGCCCCTCCTGGGCTCACTGCGCACCCCGTGGGGTTTGACTTGGTGATCTGTGATGGATGAAGGGAGAGTGGGTGATCCAGTGGTCCCACCTGGCCTTAAAACTTTGAAAAGCTCCTTAAAATCTGTCTGTGCACACTTGCCTAAACTCTGTGCCTGGCACACCAGGAGCAACCACGATGTGAGAGCTGAAATCACATCCCCAGTGAGTCCAACAGCCCGTCCAGCTCCCGAATTCTTGCTTGGTTTTACTTGCCAAGAAAGTGTTGCTGTTACAAACAACAGCAGTGTCAAGGATGAAGCGAGGAAGCGGCCAAGGAGACTATCAAAATACACTGCATCCTTCACAAAACACTTTCCCAGGGCTACAAAAGCAAGGGGAGATGAAAGCAGAGTGGGAAGCGGCGCGGGCTCCCGTGGGCAAAGGCGGGAGGAGCTCCTGCTGCGGGGCAGGGCTCATGTCTGGGGTGAAACAGCCCCTTCTGGAGGACAGCATGTTTTTGTTAGCACAGACCCACCCAAGCTCCATTTGCTCTTGGTTTGCATCCCAGCCAGCCAAACCCTCACAGAGGAGAGAAAGCAGGCGGTAAGAAAGGAGAGGCACTGATGTTATCTACTGCCTCTGTTAAAAAGTGGACGTTTGGGGTTATTTGTTCTGTTGGGATCTCAAATAAGCATCAGATCTCACTGCAAGCTCTCTGCTCTTTTTGTGGGCTTTGGAGAGAATGTGGTGCTCACTCCTGTGCTGTGCCAGGGCTGTGCCTCTGGGCTGCAGGATGTCAGGGGTTCAAACTCGCACGCACTTTGGTGGGATCTCCATGGAGCAGCACTGCAACCTCCCCGGGAAAGAGCACGGTGTGTTTCCACCTCCACCTACAAAAATCTGGAGGCTTGAAAAGCTGAGCTGGCTCCTTTTGCTGTGTTTGCTTCTATCAAAGCCCTTTGCCATTTACTCAGGTTTCCTTATCCAACCCAAGCAGACAAAAGCTGGATACCAGACTGACACAGCATGCAAAGTCCTCTGAGCGGGGGAGAGCAGGAACATCACATCATCATGTTAGCACTGATCTGGAAAGGACAAATGCCAGCAGTACTGGCTTCATGTGGAAACCGCAGCTCGAGCCATATGCTCAGCTGGGTTCCTACAGAGGAGATGGAATTCACAGGGTTTTCGCTAAAATACGTAATTCCTCTCTCCCTGCACATTTGTTTGTTGTGTTTTTTGTTTGAAAATTCAAAGAGTGACCCTGCGTGAATAGGAACCAGTAAAATCAACCCCAGAACTAATTTCTTAATTCCGGGAATTTCTTAACTGTTAGCCGTGTCAACAAAAGGAAGCTGGCCCTGGTGCTGCCCAAGCCGCTGATATCCTCCCTGCTGGAACTGAGTTTCCCACAAGCCCCGTTTTGCTCTCGCTCCAGTGCTGTGGCTTGGCCAAGCTCTCAGCCCGGTACACACACTGCAAAACTCTCCAGTGTCTCAAATTCCACAGGCTCCATCCGTGTGGAAGGCATTGGCAGTCCACTGGGATAATTGTGCTTGGGCTGCTGGCTCCCAGTACAAGGTTTGGTCTGATATTTGGGCAGTGAGGGACAGTGCACCCCACGAGTTGGGTGAACCAGGGAAATGGTTTTTTAGTGTCTGTGGGGAAGGTGCTGCCTCCTTGTAGCTTGTTCTGCCAGGCATCCGCCCTGTGAGTGGAGAGGATGCACGAGGTGGCACGAGATGGCAACACTACCCAAAATCCCACACACGACTCACCCGACAAGATGGAGGCGACGGCGGCGATGATGAAGGACACGATGACCCCAGGCCCCGCCATCTCCTTGGCCACCAGGCCGGACACCACGTACATGCCGGTGCCCACGCAGCTCCCGACGCCCAGGGAGATGAGGTCGAGGGTGGTGAGGACCTTGGCCAGCCTGGCGCCCTGGGTGGCCGCGGCGCCCGTGCCCTCCAGCATGGACTCCACGGGCTTGGTGCGCAGGACACGGGCGCGCAGGGCACGGCCCGCAGCCCCCCACGGCACCCGCCGTGGGTCCAGCCGAGAGAGGAACCCACTCATGGCCGGGGTTGGGCTCCCCACAGAGGGGTCACAGACGGTTCTGGCAGTGCCCGCTCAGGGCTGTGGGTGCATCTCCCTCCCGCGCTGGCGGCCCGGCTGCAAGAGAGAGGAACAGAGTTTTTGACTGAAATAGCAAAGGAGAGAGGGTTGTGCTCCAAAAGGGCCCCCTGAGCTGTTTTCTGACTGGATTCCAGTGCTGGGAGAGCTTTGGTTTCACCTTTGCTGCTGCTGTGGAGAAATCTCCTCCCTCCATCCCAGTGGTTTTGTACAGCAGGGATGCACTGCCCTCCTTCCTGCCTGCTTGGCTGTAACCCTGGTCATTGCTGGAGTGCTACAAGCAGCAGGAACCTGATTTCCTCCAAGTGCTCATTACATGGCTTGATTGCTACCAAAAGCAACGATGGCTACATGCAACTGTGAGGTGCTGGTGCCGCTGTGGCACACTGGGAACTGGTCAGGACACAGCGTGACTCCAAGCCTGACAGCATCGCACTTGCACCATCACCATGGCAGACTATGAGGGGACCATCTCTGGGACACCTCTTCTGGAGGCAGGCTGAGAGACTTGGGGGTTGCTCAGCTTGGAGAAGAGAAGGCTCCAGGGAGACCTCAGAGCCCCTTCCAGTATATAAATGGGCTCCAAGAGAGCAGGAGAGGGACTTGGACAAGGACATGGAGCGACTGGACAAGGGGGAATGGGCCTTCAAACTGACAGGGGGCAGGTTTAGACTAGATAAAGGAAGAAATTCTTCCCTGTGAGAGTGGGGAGGCCCTGGCACGGGTTGCCCAGAGAAGCTGTGGATTTCACATCCCTGGAAGTGTCCAAGGCCAGGTTGGACAGGGCTTGGAGCAACCTGGTCTAGTGGAAGGTGTCCCTGGTCGTGGCAGGGAGGCTGGAATGAGATGATCTTGAAGGTCCCTTCCAACCCAAACCATTTTGTAAACATCCACTTGTACTGCAAAAAATTAAGGAAGTCTGTAGCTTAGCTCCTGTCTCTGGTGTGTCGAGACCACTGCTCAGCTGTGCCAGGCCGGGGCTGGATCACCACAAACTGGTCCTTACAAGGACAGGTGATTTATTTTTTTATTCTGGTGCTATAGAAGTTCAATGTTACAGCTCTTTGGCTGCACTGGTTGGTTGTGGGTGTTTTGCGTGCTACTGCCATCCTGGTGAAACCTGAGGGGGGAAGTTTTAAAAGGTACTGGTTGTTCAGGCCCCCGTGAATCATAAAGTTGAAAAGACTCCTTTGTGTGGTTCCTTCATTCAATTTATCACTTTGTTCTTGTAGTTATTTAAATATGGCTTAAGGAATGCTTTTTTAAATTGAGATACGTGTTCTTGCTGGTGTAACTGAAACATATTTTGGGATCTGGCTTCTGTGTAGTTAAGGCAAGCTGGGTGGGAAACTCAGTAAGAGCAGTGCCAGCTTCACTGGCCACTGAAAAGCAAGCCATTTTTAAATACTTTTGAATTATCCTGCCTGAACCCATCTGTTCTAGGATTGTCTTAAAAATCATGACATTATCTTGTTTTTCTCTTTCTCTGTGCTTTTTCATCCCCAGTCATATTTTCAAGAACTATTCAGCAACTGCCATTCCCACTTCCTTTTCTGCTGTTCTTCACAAACTGTGTAGTTCTCATAATACTAGCAGCAGTGACTTCCTAGTGACACATGATGACTTAGCTTTGAGCAGAACAACAAGAACTGACAATTTGCAAGTTAATACAAAGGAACAGGAAAAACAGTTTATGAAATATGAATTTTAACCTGGCAGCTTCTTTCCTGTTAATACAGAAATCTTTCTCATTCTCTAATTGCCTTGGAGACAAAACAATTATTTTTTTTCCATCTTTACATCCAAAACAAATTACATTGTGTCCACCAGGCAGCCTTGTGTTGCTGGAGTTTATTAAATGAAACACAGCATTCATTTCGTGTTTCGGTTGATCACAATTCAAATTGTGCTGATTTTTTTTTTTTTTTTTTTTTTTTTTTTACCTCAAGCAACCACAAGCTGAAAGGCTGGATGTTCTAGCTGGGAATAATAATAAGGAAAAATTGTTACTGCTCCCAAGTAGATGTGCATCTGTGGTTTCAACCACAGGGGAAAAAAACTTCTCCAAGAATAGTGCTCATCACTACCCAAAATTCAGCCTCCTGTTACCCAAAGCACAGCATGTCTGAAGCATGGGCTGGCAAAGAGGTCTTACAGTGCTTCCCACTTCCCAAGCTTTGCATAATTATTTACCTTGGACTTTATGGGTGCTCCTAGTTGAGTTTGAGAGGCTCAGGTTGCTATGTTAAGGTTTGCACCAAACTGACTTAAAGCAGCCAAGAAGGGTCATCAGAAGAGGTAGGACGGTGTGGGATGGAGGTGCTGAGGCCATGGGCTGGTCCTTGGTCCCATCACCAGGTTGTGCTTTGACATGGGAAGACCTGCCCTGTGTTTTTAAGAGGGATTGGGAATATGATTTGAGATCAGCAATTTTTCATCATCTTGTCTGGCGTGTCTGTAAGAGGCTGATGAAGGCTTTGGGAAGGGTAGTAAATGGTCAGGTCTTGCTGGAGAGATTCACATCCACACTGGAAAAATCAGTGCATTCCCCCAGCTGAAGAGAGATGGACATGACTGATTTGGACTGCCCAGTTGACTCCCCAGCCACATCATGGTATAGAAATTACTTTCTCACCACCATTGCAAAGAGCTCCAAGAGAAGACATAGCAGACTTGCTCTGGAATAATCTCAACTGCTAAAACAATGAAAAAAGCCTTAAATATTTTAAATGCTTTAAATTTAAAGCAGGAACTGGCTGGTGGATTGGTGATGCACCCAGATTTAGGCTGCTGAGCAGTTCCAGCTACCCGGGGCTGGGCTGTGACCAAATCCTCCTGCATGGCAGCCCAACACAACCCTGCAATTCATATGGCTCCCCCTAAGTGACCAAGAAAAAGAAAAAGAACCTTTCAAAACATCTGAAATGAAATAACTTGATAATTGCTGCTATATTCAATTAAAGCAGTCAGTCAAAACTATTCCAGATGTTTAAATGAGATCAGCATATTGCTGCTCTGTAGCTTGGAAAACATCCTTTCACTCCATTTGAAACAATGAAAAAATATGTCATGGATGGCAACCCTTTCCATGGGGCAGAGGCAGCTCCCTTCTGCTCTGCTCCACTCACCCTGGCTGACTAAAAGCACTCAGTGGGAAGGAAAGGGAATTTATACTTGTGTTTGTTGTTGGTTTTTTTTTTTTTAAGCTGCTCTCCTCATCATAAAGCCAGGAAGATGCAGGGAGCTGTGGCTCAGAGGGGATAAGCTGCAGCCGGGTTTTGGAGCTGCTCAGCTCTCCATCATCAGGCTGTTGGGGTTGGTTTTCCTTGCTGGCTGCCACCACGTGCTTGTCAGTGACTGCTGTTTGTACTGAAACCCTCTTCCTCATCAGGGTGAATTAACTAAAATGCAATCAAGTCAGAAGGAGAGGTGTAGGTATTTACAGGCACGGATCTTCCTTAGTGTCTGGGTCAGTGCTGAATAATTCCCGATGTAAAACTCGTTCTGCTGGTGAGATGCAGCTCGGTGCCCCACAGCACCACCCATCCTCATCACCCCCACAGCTCCAGCTTCCCCAGACAACCTTCCCCAAACCACATCTTGGGACTGGCTTACTTGATTTGTCTGCTAATGACAGAAGAATCTGTCCAGGAGGCCATAGGAGTATTCTTGAGCAAAGATCTCTGTTATAAAGCTGTTGAGGATGTAAAATAAACAGAATATCGATCGTGGCAAATGAAAAAAGAGAGCTCCTGTTGGTATATTGATGGAAAGCCAGACCGGGGCCCTCATTAAGAGGAAAAGGTTGGATTTTTCTCTGCTTTTCCATGGCTCCCAGAGTAATTATTACAGAGGGAAACTGGAGGATGCACCCAGCAGCTGGGTCAGCAGCACGCAGTTTGCTGCAGGATTTTCTAGGGGGAAAGCACCTTCCTCCTTGCCCAGGGGAGATGAGCTCCAGAAATGCGGGATTGAAGCAGGTTCCTCCCAATCCCCAAGGCAGTGCCTGCAGTAGACCCCGGGAATGGAAACACGCGTGTTTATGATGTAGGAGCAGCATCCCTCAAACCCCCTCCTCGTAGGGGCGGCGCGCCGAGCTGGGCTAAAGCATTTCCCTGGGGAAAAGGAGCCCCAAAGGCTCAAAGGGATGCGAGAGGTGGCTCGAGATGATGGAAAAGGCGGTTCCAGGCAGCAAACCCGCTGCAATCCCAGAAAAAAAAAAAGGACAAGCGGAACAATGTGCCGCTCTGACCTCCCCGTTTTGCTTTGACTGTGAGCTCGGTAGCGGCGTCTGAAGAGGCACTGGATCCTGAATTTCATTACAGCTCCTCAGCAGGGACAGGACTGACGTCAGCGGGGCGATGCGGGAGCCGGGCAGCAGCTCGGAGCGGAGCCTTGTGCCGGGGGCTGTTCGTCACCGCGGTGTTTTCATTACGAGCACCATCTCATTTGGAGTTTTACGTGCTTGTTTTTACAGTGCGGAGCCCCAGCTGGGCTGCCACTGTAAAAGCTGGCTCTGTCTCCACCGTCAGCCCTCCTTAAAGGGATTTAAAAGCAGGCACAGAGCCGAGAGTGAGGGCTGGTCCCCGCCGGTCCCGGCGCCGCCCACGTGGGTCCAGCTTCGGCAATCTGGCCTTCTGCCTTTGCTGGTAATTTTGGGCTCTTCTTATTTTTAATCTTTCCATTTTTACCTCCGCTGGAGCGATTCGAGTGGAGCTGTGGTTAATTTAAACTAAAACTATAGCTAAATCAAACCAGTGATAATATCTCAGGTTTAAGACTAACTTTCTACGTTGCATCAACTTAAAAAAAACGGGTTCAGGGATTTTTTGTGTGTGTCTTCCCCAGCAAAATGGAAGTGGAGAGGCTGAATGGCTGTTTTCTATGTTATTTCCATCTGTATTATTTTTAGTGCTTCACCAATGTTAGCACCGCTCCAAGCTGGCTAAACATCATTAACTTCTTTTAAAAAAATAAAAGAGGAAATATCTAATTGGACCAAAGACACAAGGCAAGGGTGCCATGCATCCAGAGCTAGC